GTTTGTAAAGTTTACATATGTAGATTTTTCCTCATTGAGCCTGATTCGCCATTTGCAGGTCCATGCAGCAACATTATCAACTGCCCGTTGCAGCTTTGTCGTTGATTCTTGCAATGAGTCGCCTGTTGCCAGCATTGCAGCGTCATCCGCAAACCTGGCCATCATGCAGTTTGGTGTTTGGGGTATATCATTTGTGTAGAGCAAGTACAGCTTGGGTCCCAGTACACTTCCTTGAGGAACTCCTGCTTGTATTGTCTTCAATTCTGAGTATGCGTCTTCATTTTTAATACGAAACTTCCGATCTGCTAATGAAGACTTTAGGAGTTGATAATAGGAGTCAGGTAGATGCAACTTTAGTTTATGCAGTAGGCCATCATGCCATACTCGGTCAAATGCTTGTGCTACATCTAAGAAGATAGCAGAGCACACTTTGAGATGCTCAAGGGATTTTTCTATGACGTCAGTGATTCGGTGTACTTGGTCAATCGTTGAATGTTGACTACGGAACGCAAACTGATGCGTTGCTATTAGGTGGTATTTTTCAATGATTACTTGCAACCTTTTCAGAATCAGCTTTTCAAATAATTTTGAGATGATTGGTAGCAGTGAGATTGGCCGATATGATTCTACTTTATGTGGATTTTTGCCAGGTTTTGGAATCATAATTACATCCGATACTTTCCATTGTACCGGTACATATTTTAGTCGGATTGACGCCTTGATTAATGTAGTCAATTTTTCCAAGGATTTTCGTTGCATTTTCTTTAGTATTGTACCTGTGATCATATCAAAACCGGGTGCTTCGTTCGGGTTTAGGTTCGTTTTAACTTCTTGACTGACTTCTTTTGTTGTAACTAGCGGAATTGAGTCCAAGCGGTAATTTGGAGTTAGATTAGGCAGTTTATCCACCCCGGTATTAGGCAAAAATCTAGTCTCGAGGTGTTCCGCAAAGATCATTGCTTTATCGTTGTTAGTGCGAGCCCTTAGTCCACCAATTTTTTGGATGGGTGGCATTTGTGTTATAGGGCGCTTTAAGTATTTTGTTGCTTTCCACAAGGAAAATACTGCGCTATCATCTGCGGTTAAATTGCTGAGATAGTTGTTGATTGAAGAATTTTTCAATGCTGCAATCTGCATCATGCTCTCTTTTTAGTTGTTGCGCGTATCTGTTTAGGATTGTTTTGTCGCTTGGTGCCCGTGTTTGATGCCAGCGCATTCTTAGTTTTCGTTTTACAGCAATCATATCTCTAATTTCTTTCGGGAAGTTGAGTCCCTTAGATTTTGTTTTAATAATTGGTGTGCTGTTGTATGGCTGTAGTAAAATTGTACACTTCATCCTCTAATTGTTCAGTTGTCTTGAGGGGAATATTTAGTTTAATATTGCTCTCTATATTAAAGTAATGCCAGTCTGTATATTTGTTTGTCAAAACTGTGCTTTGGCCTTTCGTAATAATATGTTCGCTGATCGTTAATAGAATTGGGGAGCGGTCGGAGTTCAAGTCGTCTCCTTCATCAATTTTTATATAGTTTTCTGAAATGTTTTTGGCTACAAAAAACTCTATCAGATCTGGGGTTTTGTTTGGGTCGGTTGGCCAGTATGTGGGTTTTCCACTGGATAAGAAAACACATCCAAAGTGCATCAGTTGGTTGGACTCACGCCCTTTTGCCGTAATAAGTCTGGATCCCCAGTGCGTGTGCTTCGCATTAAAGTCGCCTCCAATTATAAATCGTCCATTTAGTTTCGCAAACAGTTCCAAGAACTTGTCTGCATATATATTGAAACGCGGAGGGCAGTATATTGCACTTATAGTAAGTGTTTGTGCTGTTGTCATAAGTGTTACAGTCGTAACTTGCATATCATAGGTCGAGCACTTTTCTTCTTCATAATGTTTTAGATTGTCTCTGATTATTATAGCACTTCCTCCCCGAGCTGTGTTGGCGGGGTGAATGGTATGATATGTTGTGAAATTCTTGAATTTAATATGCGATTCTGTTGTGAAATGTGTTTCAGAAATCAAGGAAATATCAATATTTTCAGAACTTAGGATTGCCTACAGCTCGTCCTTATGCGGCAGAAAACCATTTGCATCTCATTCCATAATGCGTAGGAAATTAGGCATTATTGATGTTGGATTCAATTTTATCTAACCGCTGCAGGATTTGCTGCAACATTGATTCCATTGAGTTTTGTGGTTTACCTTTTGTTTTGTCACTGTATGATGGTTTCGGGACTGCAGAATTTCCATTTGATGGTTGTTCTGGGAGAGTGTTTGGCTGTGAATTGGTGCTTTTTGCGTTTTCTCTTCCACTTTGGCGGAGGGACCCTGACTATGTTGGTTTTTTGTGAGACTTATTTCTGTATTTTAGTATCTCTTTGTAGACTTCACATCCACGATAATTTGCTGGATGATTCTCTCCGCAGTGTACGCATTTTGGATCAGCGTCAGAGATTTTCCACACTTCACGCACCTGGGGGTTTTGTGGCAGAAGTTGCGTGTATGTCCGTATTGTTGGCAACGTTTACATTGTGGTATGAATTTATTTCTTCTCAGTGGTTCTATTTGTACTGTAGAGTGCAGCACAGTTTTGATACTATATATTTGATCGATTTCTGTTTCATTATCAAATGACACAATAAACATGTTTAGTGGTACTGTTTCTTGAATATGATTGGCTCGCCTTTCCTTTTTCTGTTCTGCTGTGAGTCATTTTTGTTTGTTTGTAGGTTTTTGATCATCACTCTAATATCTCTTATTTGTTTATCTTCGTACGAGTGCCACTGAACTCCTTTGTTGTTTAGGAGGGCAGTAATAGCTCGATATGTTTCTGGGTTTGTAACATTAATTTTAACTTTGTTGTTGTTGAGTATTTTGCTTTGATAACTCTCTGTCGGAATTTGTGCACTTGTATATGCAGCACGCATTTGTGAATAGTTCGTTACATTTTCTATTATGATTGGTCGTGGCCTTCTAACGTTTTCTTGTTCAGTTTGTGCCTTTCTAGGTATATTACCTTGATTGCTGGAGGGTTTTTGTGGTTTGGGGTTGGATGTTGAAGCAGTATCTGTTTCGTAAGCAAGTTCATCTCCATCTGTTTCGTATATAATGGCAGTAGCGCCGTCGCTAATATTTGGCTTTGGTTGAGTTATTTGTAATTTAGATTTCGTAATAGATTTTGCGTTGTAGCAGTTTTACAGTTGCTTCAAGTTTCTTTCTCTCATTTTCAGACTGGAACCATGCATTGTATATGGCTTGTTCGTTTTTAGATCTCTGAACATTTTCTGCAAAGAGGTGTTGGTTTTGTTGCATTAGCCGCTCTTCCACCATCGTTGTTCGTGTTAGATGTTCCGTGATTATTGCTTTTTCAATAATGTTCTATTGATTGTATTGGTCTTCAACCGTGTCAAGGAATGCACCGTACACACGCCCGGGCGTGGTGAAATTCTTATCGGTTTAGATTCTTTCGCAGCCGAACAAAATACGTCCTTGCACGACGCACGCAAAATATAGACTAATCCGTTGTTTCTAATTCCGGTTTTGTTTCTTCTACTTGGCTAGCGACCTACCAATGAGAGTAATCAAGTGTCGCACTATCAATCGTTATAGTTGATTCTAACAATTTCTCCATTGTGAAGAACGAGAATTGTTGGACGAATACTATTAAAACATTGTATCCAATGATACGTGGCTTACTTACCAAAATTTTGACTATTAACGAAAATCGCTTCAAATCTGTTGGTGAGAGTAATCGAGTGTCGCGGACTTTATGTACATGGACTCAGTTGTTTGTGCTTCATTTGCGGTTTATTTGACTCAAAAAAGTTGTTAACAAAAAATTCGGATCTTGCCAGAATGGCGAAGTGTGGGTGTTATCATATTATATTTAGGAATGTCGCATTTCCAGGCGCCCTGGAAAAGATCAAAGCTAACAGCTGATCGGCAGAGCCAACGCTTGCGCTCCATCCAGTTTAAAATCGGCATGAATGTCCGCGTTCGGGGTGGTGTTAATTTTAATAATAAATGCTTTATTTATGGTATTCGACGTCTACAAAAAGATTCTTTTCTTCGATCTCTAACCTGGAAAATATGGCGGGACATTGCTTGTAAATTGTTTAAACGGAGAATCTATGGCATTGCATTTGAAGTGGGTAAGTTTTGGAAAATAACAACTTATTTTTACAAAAACAGATTTACATAATTGCTGTCATACAGTCAAATTAAGCCAGAGCAGAAAAAAATTAATAAATTTCGAGCTCTGTGTAAATCATTAAGCGACGAATATCAATGAATTATTTATTTAGTTTTTATTCGCTTGAGAGGCAAAGTGTTCAAAGAAATCAACAAGTTTATTGAGAAATTTAATTAACTGTTTCAAAAATATTTTTAATTTGTTATCGATTCTTTGTATTTGCCGGAGCAAATTTTTTTTATTTGCAGATATATATCCACAAACGGTTGAATTAGTTGCATTTTAATGCCACATTTGATTCCGCAGAAAACACTTTCGTGAATTTTCATTTTTACATCCACATTTGACATACTTCGATTAAACATTTCACTTTCCAGCGTTTTTAATTTCTTTCATTTTTGCGTACTTTGAACGATTCTGATTATATAAGTTGCAGGAATTGCGCATAGTAACGGTTTAGCGTAATTGCTTGAATCCATTTTTTTAGTTTGTGTGTTAACCACATTAAACGTGGACTAATAGATGACAAAAACAGGCAAATGTCCATTTAGATTTTTTGTACACATGGTCATTTTATTGACGATTTTTACAATTTTCTTCCCATAATAAGTAACTGTTCAACATTTCTCTTCTTCTGGTTAAATCGGAAAGATCTAAAGAAGAAAGTCTAATGATGTTTAATTGCACGATCTTGGCGAATATTTCGGGAAATTAAGCTGAATTTTGGTTTCTTCTATTTGTACATTTTTATAATTTTAGTTGTACTTAAACAACTATTATTTGAGTTATGTTTAATAAAGTATCATATAATGGCATTTCACATTTGCATAAATCACTTTTTCAAATGTTTGCTATGCTTACCGGGTATTTAAAATGGCGTATTTTTAGGGAAATTCATTAAAAAATTAGTTTTTATTTAAAAAAAAATCACTTAGGCATCGACAAAAAACTAAACCATAAATTCAGTGTCTGCTTGGTAGCTGCTTAGGAGACTTTTTTTGATTAATATCATCAATCTCGAATGGAAATATTTGAAACTAGAAGGCATATTGAGGAAAAGCCAGTGCTTTTAGTTGGAATTTTTTTAAATTGTAATTCTCAAGGAATGATAATTACTAGTGTTATATTATTTCTGCTATCATAGGACATGAGTCTTATAGACGTTTTTTTAGTTTTTTTCATGACGTTTAAATTTTTTCATGCTCCGCAAAAAAATATATTTTATTTATTTGGTTTATTATCATAACCCTGCAGACAATTTAAAAGTGAATCTGCAATTTGTACCATTTGTTAGTATTTTATTCAATTATTATAAATACACATATACAATGAATCGCAAGTAGGTAAGTTATTTGCCAATTTAGAATAATGAATGGCAATCAAAAATTGTTTGCTTATTTATGTGTTTTTCAACAGAGAATATTTCAATTTCTCACCTAAGCCAAACCGTTGAAAACTATCATTTACGTAAAAACCACTTAAAGCTACCAAAATCTTAAATGAACATTGATTGACTCATTATATGAGTTCGAAGAGAGCACATTTTGCGTAAGCATGAAAAGTATAAAATAATATTGCTTATAAATATGGAAACACCGGCAAATTATGATGTAATAATTATAGATGAACATATTCGAACGAACGGACGAATAGCCGGACATAATTGACAAATAGATACAGTCCAATAAATCCAATTGAACTTGTTAAAAGTAAGTCGTAATCAACCTTTAAAATGTACGAAATAAAATTGATTTTCCAAAGGACAACTTTTGGAAAAGGAAATAAAATTTTTATGTTTTTTTTGTTGTTCCCGTTTTCTGTCTTCTTCCCATCTTTTTATGATTAATCTGCAAAAAAAACATGATTTGATCTGAATGTTATTTAATTTTTGTGCTAAATTGATAAAAACATAAAAGCTGTTAAATTACAATAAAATTTATAAAGAGAGCTTCTTGAAATAAAAATTGAATTTATAAAATGGTTTCGTCATAGAGTTGTGGCTCTAGGATAAATACTTAATTTTAATTTTTGTTCCTTGCAAGTTCATAGTTAAATTTTCAATAAAATATTTAACACCCGTTTGCCATTGCTTTCACACACTCGAGCTGCCACTTCTACGTTAGCATTTACAAAGGAAAAACCCTCTACTGGAATACAATATTCAACGAACAAATCTCCCTATTTGCAGCTATCCACACTGTGGAATTCAATATCCATCGAAGTTCAAGAGTCATACACTCCAAGATCCTTTCAAATTTAATTCGAATCTGGCAATGCGAATATCCCAAGAATAAAGCTGTAAACTCGAAGAAAGCTCTTTGTCTGTAAATATTCAATATACTTTAAATGGTCCATCTCTAATCCTATTATAAGAAAACGCACTCCCTTTAAGGTTCTATTTAAGATTAATTCCGAATTTTAATTTATTTTTCTCTTCGGCCAAGCGATCGGGCTTCTTTCATTCGTTTCCTGATCATGAGATGTAAATGGAAATTTTGCGATGGGGAGAAAGGAACTTTATTTGATTAAAGTTCGAGCAATTATTTTTTTATCGGGTTTTGACAATTTCGATCTAACCACTGGATTATTTTCAATATTACACTTATACAGGTTAAGGTTCTGAATTATTATTTCTTTACTATCAAATTTAATTAAATTTTTAATTTACCAGTCATTTTCTGAAGTTTTGAGTTGAGTTGATAGCTTGACGTTTAGTTGTCAAACTGCCGCCATATATTTTTTCGGTCTCCAGGAAACAGACAAAATTTATATGAAAAACTTCGCGGAAAAGCGAAAAATTAGTGAATCTTAAAGTTACAGTGAATTTGGAAGTGAAAATGGGTGCAATCTCACTTAAATAATGAAAAACGTATACATCTTTCATTATTTACCTAGGAATTTTATTATCATTATTGACCCAGGGGGTCAAAATGACTTCTCGCAAGAGAAATGGGGTAAATAATGGTGACTTCTCAGGTGGTGACTCTAGAATTTTATTGATCAACTTGAAAGTTTCGTCTCTAAAAACAATATATTTCCAAATTAATACAAACAATACAGACTCTATTTGTAACCAAACCTTAACTATGACTTATGACTTATGACTTACAGACCGTATATTTTAAAATTGACTATCTTTAGACTGACTATCTGAGACTGAACCTCTAATGACTAAATGCTGGTTTCTGCTGTGGCGCCTTTTGTCCTTAAATCATGCTGATCATAGCAGAACCGATACTGCGACTTACTTTAGAAGAATAGTCGGCAAAAGCCATATGATTGTAGTTAAAAAAACCATTTATTACAAACGAGGAGTATTTATTTGTACCTACACAGTAAACAACTCAAAGCCATCATTATTCGATATTGAACTTTTTAGCCCATATTTCACCAAAATCCATCAATTTATCTGGATTTCACCTTGTCGATTCGATTGTACGTAGTATTCACCATAATAGCGAACACGCATTTTGGATAAATTATGTTCCTGATACAAAAGCTCCAATAATGAGATGCGTGCTCTCTCATATGTTTATGGTGGGTTTTACTGCCATCAGAAAGAGATTAGGGTGTGACACCACAACATACTGTTGCCCCTAATAGTTAAGTCATCATGTCAATGTTGAAAGAGCGTGTAGAATTTTCATAAATTATCACTTTAGAAAAATAGCTAAAATATTGGGACTTTTAATTTTGATATAATTTTATATCTTGATATGATGATGTTTGTGTTGCTTACAGTTTATGATTTGGAGCAACAAAATATTGAAGTGAAAAACCTCAGTAATCTGGGGAATAACAAACATTTACTTACAAAGGATTCAAGGTGTTTGATGCTAAAATTAATTTGATCCGAATTTCAGATAAAATGTGGGTTTGCCATTTTAAATTCGAAAGCATTTATGCGAAACTTTTCTATTTGGAAGATGAAGTTAACTTGCTATTCTGTAAGATCTTGAGAGAATATGGAGGGGTACAGGGAACTTACAATTAGGCAGTAGTATTGAGAAAAATTTTTAGCGTGAAAGTTTCCTTAATGACACTTTAAAATTCAGTTAAATAGGCAAAATCTAGAGCTGCTGCAAAATAAGTAAAATATTTCGCCTAACTGTCTGAAATCCCGCTGCAGACAAACACGCTCATATTTATACAGGGCGTCCCGTAAACACATGTTCAAAAGAGCACTGACACATTTTTTGGCTCAAAAGCAGACGATCTGAGTAGAGTTATATTACGAAAAAAATTCTGGCTCCATTACTATTGAGGAAAAAAGTTTTTCAAAAAATTACGTTTTTTGAAATATCGGGAGAATCGTACTATGGATTTTAATGAAACTCACTGCAAATTTTTTCCTATGCAAGACTTATGTTTTGATGAAGCAACCGAGTTCATCGGCTTTGAACAAGTGGTGTCTTCGTAGGAAAACTAGCAGAACTTTTTATTTTGTAGCTGAATCAATTATTCTGCATTTTTTTGACTTGACGCACTGATCCTTTTTGAACATGTTTGGGCTCCTCGTGAAATCTTGTCGCATTCATAGTTTTTGAGCACAAAAAATATTTATTAAAAATTCATGAACGGCTAAAATTGTCAGTTGCAAGGAAACAGAAATATTTTTTTTTGCGCAAAAATTATGAATGCTAAAATATTTTACAAAGAGGACGAAAATGTCAAAAGAAAATTAGCGCATGAACTCAAAAAAATCAGTTGATTTTAGCTACCAAATAAAAACTTTTTTTGACCAAGACAATAAAGAATTCCCCATTGCCGAAAGCACATGAACCCGGTTGCTCCATGAAAATGTGCGTCCTGCATAGGAAAATTCACAGCAAGTTTTATTAAAATCGATCGATTCATTGTCTCAATTTATCAAAAAAATAAATAAAAAATAATTTAAGAACTTTGACCATGGGACAAACAATGTCGCGGTACCCGTTTGATCATGTGCATGTATGGCAC